TGTCCACACGCAAAAAAAGAAAAAACAAGCGGAAAAAGAAATTGCTTTTCTGTGCGCCCCCCCCCCCCCCCCCCCCCCCCCCCCCCACATAACAAAGCAAAAAAAAAAGTTTAGACCGATGTTTGTCCCCCCCCCTCCTAAGTTTTAATTGCTTGGGAAATCCCTGGGTAGGCGAGGAGGACCTCGACCATCTGGTGCGCATTGGGGGAGAGGAGCTCGCGAGTTTTTCTTACGGCTCTGGAAGATCGCCAGGTTTATCAGCCCGATTAGCCCTAGCATATCGCTTCATTCTAGGAACAACTATCAGGTGTACACATGGTACGCTTTACACTATCTCATGAAGAGCGCCGTGAACGTAGGCGTCTGGAGACTCAGAGTATCGCTAAACGTTTGTGACGCTAGAAGGTTTCACGTATGCAGCACAATTCGGCCTAGAAGTTTGCCCACAATTTTTTATAAAAGGGCATTAAGGAGGCCTGTTTGATAAGGCTGTCATAGTTATCAAGCTTTAACATTCATTTGATGTCTGTCAAAGTACAACATGCCTTCCACAAGTTCGCTTATCTTGGTTTAGATTGCGAATAAAATAAACTGACTCATTAGAAAAGAAAAAGGTGCGTGCGTGCGTGCGTGCGTGCGTGCGTGTGCGTGTGTGTGTGTTGCTGCGCGTGTGTGTGTGTGCGCGCGTGTGTGTGCGCGCGTGTGGTGTGTGTGTGTGTGTGTGTGTGTGTGTGTGTGTGTGTGTGTGTGTGTGTGTGTGTGTGTGTGTGTGTGTGTGTGCAGCCTGAACTTAGGCAGCCTCAATGGCCGCCTGCTGGTGTAGATGATAAATTTAGCCAGTGCAGTACAACCGCTTGCCTGGGGTCTCTAACGTGCACCACGCAGTAGTGATACGCGACCGCACGCCGGTACGATGCTCGTCCAGATCGAAACGGGTAAGGGGAAGGATTGAACCTGTAAGGCCCATTTTCATTAAAGGGATACTACAACGAAATTTATTTTATGGTGTATATACGTTCTATGGAGCAGTATCACATGGAACATATCAATATCTTGTTAAAAAAGTCACGAAAAGGAATTTTAAAACGAATTATAGCAAAAAGCACCTGGTGGATGTCGCTAACGCCTCGTTTGTAATGCCCGTCTAGGAACCTTGACAGCTAGTGACGGTGAGTGTCTCGCCTCCGGCCACGACGAGAGAAGAGGTGAAGGAGGAACTCCCGTCTTCCCGAGAATCCCTTTTGTTTGTTCCAGAAGTAGCTATTGTCCCCCTAGAAGATTATAAAAGATTAACCCGTCACTCGAAATTCGTACAAAAGCAGCCACTTCGGTGGCTGGAACGACTAGGCCATCCGCTCGAAGTCAGCCTCGCCGTAGCTTTGCTCGTCCCGAGACGACCTACGTCACGATTGCGTCGGATGTCACGTGCTCTAAGCTGGGCCTTCTCCGAGCGCTTGCTAGAGTGGGCCGTTCATAACAAAAAATACAGCCACCAAAAATACAGCCACCAGGCTCAAAATACCAACGTGCGATTGTCATTTACGGATATTGTGGATCATATTCAACCTATTTTTGAACACGACGGATAAATTTCAAATTTCGTTGAAGTATCCCTTTAAAACCTGGCGTCGAGTCCGGAGAGTAAGTAAAAACGACAGGCAGGATTACCCCAGTCCCAATGTGAAACCTGTCACCCGCGTATACGTCCTTTTTTCTCTCTTTTTTATTGACTTTATTTTGTTTTGTTTTTTGTAAACCAGTCCAAAAAGAAACCTTCTTAGCAAAGGGTCGGCTGCGATTCTGAGGCTTCCAGAAGCCTCTTGTCTCATTTTTTTTTTCTACCATTTTTTCGCTTTATAGTCTGACACGCTGATTAAAAACAAGTACCCACGTACCAGGTGTGGGTAGTGACACCGCAGCGTCGTGACATGAGGGCCTTGAGTGGCTTGAGTTCTGGCGCATCCATCCGTCCTTTGTTCGCACACTTCGCCGTCGTGCCACGTTCGGTACACGAACTAAGTATTTGGGGAATATAGCCGGATTTAAAATTGCAGCCACTTTACACTTGCACATTATATGATTTTAGAGTGTTACAGGGCGACCCAATAGATGGCGCCAGTTTTAAGCACGCCTCGAAAGAATGATGTCTGACTCACAAAGTGTTTAATTTTAATTCATTTTTTTTAAGGGGCTGAGTTTTAGCATGCATTTATCAGACTTGGCCTACGTTAGATCAGGGGATAATCATAATTCCAAGTTAACTAATAAACTCAAATGCGTTAATTAACTTTTTTAACTATTTGGTGTTTAGGGGTCATGTTGGAATTACAGTATTGACGGTAATTACAGTGAGAGGCCAGTCCGATTGAAAAGCTTTGCAAAAAGGTCATGTTTTTTTGTTTTGTTTTTTACATATTAATCGGTCAACGTTTGTGTTTTTTCGTCTGAACTAAAAAAAATACATTTAAGCGCAACAACAGTTTTTAAGTTCTGCCCACAATGAGGTTTGGAAAAGTGACGTATTCGTTTAGGTCACGTCGTCAGTTGTGTCGTCGGCGCACTCACCAAAACTTGCGACGCCTAAAAAACAAAAACAAAAAAACACATGACCGTTTCGTAAATTGTTTAATTTGGTCTGGCCTCTACTAGTAAGTGCCGTCAATACTGCCACTCGAACACGACCCCTAAAACCAGTAATTAAAAAGTTAACTAAGAGATTTTAGTTAATTAGAGACGATTGTCTTCTCATTCGACGTCCATCGAACCTGATAAATACATGGTGCAGACAGAACTCCGTCCAACTCTCACCTCCTATTTAGAAAAAAATAAAATTAAAATAAATCTGTTCGTAAAAAAATGTCGCCAGTGTTTTTTTTATATTATTATTATTATTTTTTTGTAAGTGCGGTTACGAGTCATTTGTTCACACCCTGATCGTAAAGCGACACTCTGCGAACCAGGCTTTACTTTGGGGTAATTCATTTCGTGTGACTTCGCGCTTCATCGCCCTCTTCCAACCGCATACTCCTGGCTTACTTTCGGGCAGCTTGAGTCCCCCCGGAAATTGCTGGCACCGGCCCAAGTGGCGCCAGAGACGGTGGAGCAACAACGGGCATCCCTTGATGCCGCCCTGAGATATGCAAACTGGTGACGTCGACAAGGTCTGGCACCGACCGTCGAGTGTTGCTAGTCAGTGGAGCCGACGTCAGCGCGGTTGACATCACTGTACCAGGAAACCCTCGACGAAAACCACGATTGATGGGATTCCGCGGAAACATTCCGTTGAGTGAGACCCATTCCCCCCGTGTTGCGTTTCCGACGTTGCGTTGGTTACGAGCCGTTCATTAAAGGTGCCCCGGCGGTAGGATTGCATAGTGCTGGACAGGTACGCTAACAAAATTAAACGTTCTTATTCACCGGATGACGACAGTACTAATGACGCTTAGGTGATATTCGGGAATATATGCACTCGATAACGATCGAATACTTTGACGCTTTTATGAACACGTTCGTGAACAACCAAGAACCATTTTTGTTGCCATACGATGAAAACAATACAAACGACGAGGTTGGGCATGATGTGAAATTTCTTCCGTTAGTTATAAGATTCGTTTCTCTTTTCTTTCTTTGTTTGTAGAGACTAGGTACACAACCGATCATTTCGGCCGCAGGCGAATAAGCCAAATATGATTTAAAGATGCGTGATGCTACCGTACTAGAAAGTTCGAAGCTGGCTGCTGGTCTACAATTGCGAGAAACGTAGAGATAATAAATTGGCAGCTGGGTGGACGGGCGCCTGGCCTCATTCAAAGGTTGTTTGAAGGACACACAGAGCCATCTCACTTGCTTGTGTCTTAGTTATAGCGTTTTCCGTCCTCTAGGGGTCTCAACCTGCTACCATAGTTGTTTCCGAAATTTTGCTACGTAAACATTTATTGAGAACATCATTACGTAAGTATAAGAACATAATTTTTCAAGATGCCATTTAAATCGCACACACAAAATGTTTTTCTCCCTTTTTTTTTTTTTTTTTTTTGATTGGTATGCATTGTTTTACGGGCAGTCGGGGGTGCATCGGTTATTTTCAGAAATGGAGGCCGATATTGGATAAAGTCAGGTGGCTTCAAAGTGACGAAGCCTTATTTTGTGATACAAGTTTAACGAAACCAAATTTGAAGCATGTACTTTGATATGGAGAATTGTACTTCTCTCGCAAATTAGCAGGAAACAAACAAATATATATATATATATATATATATATATATATATATATATATATATACTTGAGAATGGGCTTCAAGTAAAGTACAAGTATTCTAAACCTCCTTGAAGTAATACTTCAAGTACAATGTACTTAAAGTAATTTCTAACACTGCCTCTAATGAAGTTTTACTAAATTCGGGATAAAATGAGAAAGTTGGGTGTTCCAGATAGCAGAGTCGTCTTCTAGTTTTGACTGAGCACCATCTATAGCTACGAGTAAAACCAAAACCATCGAACCTTGCGTTGTGGATTAAAATAAAGCGTTAGCCTAAACTTTTTCGCTACTTTTTTCTAACGCCGTAAATTTCTCGGACGGCATCAGCTGTGCCACAGCCAACGCTGGCCACAGACATAGCCTCCTCTTTACGGAGGATATGCCACACAGCGCGGCCTAATACGCGTTGACGACTGAGCGCGCCTTCCGCGCTGCGCGACAGCAGCGGCCCTTTTCTCTCTCCCCCACCGAAGCACTCCGCACTCCTCCGCGCCCTTAAATAGTTCAGAGCGCCACTCCGCGCGCGCATTTGTGACTCTCCGCGAGCCTGGCTCCGTCCGTCGCTGCCTTGCAGCCGCTCGCCGCATTTTACTTCGCAGCATCCTCGTTTATGCAGTACGCGTAGCGTTTCGTCTATTGTTTTTTTCCCCGTAGCTTGCTTCAGTTAGCACCAGTCGGGACGGCGGACGTTAGAAAGAGCTCGAAGCGTTAGATATACGCATAAAAATCAAACAGAATGGCGTCTTCAGCGTTGAGAAAATCGAGCCGTGCCATCATAACCATCGTGCGAAATCAGCAGCGCGGTGTTTTGCCCGCGGTTTCGGCCTGCGGCTTCAAGACCAGCGCTCCCGCCCTGACAGGTGAGCAGTTTTGCTTCCAAATGCGTCATAAGCAGTCGCGCGTTTGACGCCTCTTAGCTTACGTTTCTTGCAACGAAGCGGGGACAAAAAATATCGTCTGCATCTTTTCGTCTGCTGATTGGCAGACGACGCGCTCGCAGCAGACGGCAACGTCTGCTTCTCGTAATGGCGATTGGTTTGGTTTTCGCTTTTCCGCGCCTCGATCGGGCCTGATCAGTGTTATTGCTCGCGTTCTTTTCGGACGTTGGCGACAGATGGATGTCATTTGGTTAGTTTTATGTGGCCCCTTTCGGTGCGATTGTTACAGCGGTAAATCTTTTTCGATTTTCGCCGTTGTTCGAGGCGTGCTTGCTGCTCGAACTGTTCGTAATAAGCGTGTCAATCAAGGGCATCCCTTTCTTTTCGATATACTGCGTATGGTTTCCAGGACAACAGCAAGGTGGGATGTACGATCGCAAATGGAAAGCACTTGTTAGTTTTCCATGACAATTCCGTTTGATTATTTTTCTTATTTTTTTAACTTTCAGGCGACCTTGCCAGTTGTCAGGGTCGAATTTTTCATTGCTGTGAAGCATCGCTCTATGAACTAAATTAATAGTGCAGTTCGCTGCTGGTCGCGATTTTGAGCGTGAAGGGTTTGCGTGCCTTGGTTTACACTTTTCGCGTTTAAGTAATATTTCAGTGCTCCGTTGATGTATTCTGGAGCCTCTGAAGGGTCAATATTTTGCTATTACAGTTCACATAACACTGAAAAATTCTACGATGTGTATTTTAACAGAAAACTTTCGATCACTGTTTGACAGTCCGTTGAGATGTAAACATTCGGAGCTCTTTTTTCCCGTTTGTTGTCGCTCTGTCAACAACTAAGAGCTACACGAGAAAAAATTATCAGTATACGTTTTAATTTATCCTAGCGTTAAATTGGATGGCAAGAGCCGGACGATAGCTCCTGTCCGCTGGCTAGAAGCTGTCTGCTAGCAACCCCCGGTTGGTAACTTGACTGTGAATTGACGCCCCGAATGTCCTGGACACTCGCCAACTGGAACTGAACTTTTCCAAGGGCGCATATATTTTTATTTTTTTTTTTCTACTGTCTGCTTTCTTGGGAGTTCAAGGAGCTGTGTCAATCTCAGGCGGGAAGCCGAGCGCACCGATTGTTCGTGTCCTTGGCTCGACGGTTCTTTTATTATTTTTTTTTTCTTTGTTTATTTTGATATTTTTCTTTTTAGAGGTGCGCTGTCGACACTACTGTTGGCAAAAAGGAAGAAAAAAAACGCGGAAAGATTTCTTTTTTTTTTTTCTTTTTTTTTTGCATTTGCTACGTAATGAGCGCGGTTAATTTCTTTGCTATCGTTGCACCGAACTAGATGCAGAAACGTATTCCGGTCTGTTATTAAATAAGCACGACTTGGAAAGCGAAAGCTCGATCGGCTGATTCGATTAAACAGTTGGTATTGCCCTACGCGATGTGAACACGTGATATTCTGCGCGCAATCCACGTCCCCGACTTCACGTCCAAAGGGCGGCGCAGCTTGTAGAATGGCGCATGCGCAATGCTGTTTTATGCGAAGCACTTGTTTACCTTGTTTATAAACAAGCGGTGAGCTTAGCCTCCAGAAGCAGTTGTTCTGAGATGAGTCAGCAAAATTGATGGTTGTAGTGTTGTTTATAAAACTCAGATCTGGGGTTGTGTTGTCACCTTGGCGGGAATAGCTTTCTTTCTGTACACATTGCAAACTCCTCTTTGTAAAATGACTTATTTCTTTCTTTCGTTTGTATAGGAACGACGCAGGGGGAGTAATCGGAGCGTGTTTATTTATACGCAATAGTAATCCATAGTTCTTTTTTTTTTTTTTCTGTCTGCGTTTGAGCTTGCGAACTTTGGAACGGCTTCGCAGCAACAGCTCCTGTTTCCTGGCGTGGCCAGGTTGTTGACGCTGTTCTTCAGTCCCAGAAATGGAATTCGGTTGCATCATCTTCGCCTTCTCGAGGGTTGTTTGGTCTTGCACTCTTATTTCGACAACAGCTTTCTTCCACTCTGATTTTTTATTTCTTTTTTTGTTAAGGCGCTTGTTTTTGGAACGCGTCTGCAACTTGTCAACAGTCATTTCGAGTCAGTTCTTTGGCTTTGCCCGTACCTTATCATCGTTACAACTGAGCATGTTTGGTCGCTGATGGGACGTGCGCGTATTTCATTCGATATATGAAAATAATTATCACGTTTTATTTTCCACGCGTTCTATTTCTATATATGAGAATAGTATACCAATCTCGAGAAGATTGGTATACTATTCCGCTGATACCGAACCTTTTAGTCGAAGGCAGGCGTTTTGAAACCACGGTTCCGACCGATTTGATGTCTCGAACAGAAGCTCCCGCTTTCTGTCTTTTTTTTTTTTTTTTTTTTTCTTTTAGTAGTGTTAGTTGTTTTTGACACCAGTGCAAAACGTCCGTCGTTTTTTTGTTTTTTTATAATCTTATTATTATTTTTTTTTTTTTTTTAACTTACGAATAGGTTTTACACGCATTCTTCTTTCATGTGCCTGTCTGTCTCGATTCGGATGAGCATCGTACTGGTGTGCGGTTGTGTATCTCGTATTTCGTGATTCACGTTGCGTGACGCAGTAGACGCAGTACCACCCCATCTAGCGGTGGTACTGCACTGGCTGCATTTCTCATCTACAGCATATCCACAGATAGGCCAGGCGTCCATTGGGGCTGACTTTCACAACACCATTCGTTTAACATTTTACTTTTTACCCATACGCGTTTTGTTACTTGATACCCGCGTTTCTCACCCTTGGACGTGATTCAGTTCAGTACGAAGAAACTTCCACAGCAGCCTACACAGCGAATCCTCAGGCGTGACTATGCGGAACGCAAGTTCGTCTGCTTCTTTTGCGCGGGTTGTGGTGACGTCAGAATACCGAGCTCTGATTGGCCCTGATTGAAAGATAGTGGGTAGACCTCGAGACAGCTTGCTTTGAGGTTTACCCACTATCCTTCATTCAGAGCCAATCGGAGCTCGGAGTCTCTCTGACGTCACCGCTGCTCCTGCGGAACAAGCAGACGAACTTGCGCTCCGCATAGGGTATCCGCCAAGCTCTCTCTCTCTCTCTCTCTCTCTCTCTCTATATATATATATATATATATAATAGCGTTGTTATGGTGACTTGTATAACGCTCCCTTCGTGTCCTGCTAGCTGATGTTTATGCGAGTCCGAAGGAGAATGAGGGACCTGCGTATTGCCCTGAGGGCAACCACCGGAACTGGACCCATTGCTTGTGGCGTTGTTCCATTCGATGTTTCGCTTTCTTGTCGTGTTTAGTTTTGCGGGTTCGGTTCGCTCTCGCAAATTGCTACCTTCAGTTTTCCTAGATCCTGTTTGTGACGTGGCTGACGAGTCTTCCGAACTCGCGGTGGTAGTTGGCACCGATTGCGCTTTCTCGAACTCCCGCACTGTCAGATAGGTATCCGCCTGCGGCTGGGGGGCGTGTGGACCACTCGCTCTGCCGCTCATTACACAGTCGTGTCTTGCCTTTGTGGACGCGTCTCGTTTCCCGGGAAAATCGTCGTGAGAGCGAATCGAGGTAAAGAAAAGAAAAAAAAAAAAAGCGCGTGCATCCCCAACTTTCTTACACTCAACGCCTTGCGGATGTCAGAAAACAACAACAAACATCGCGATGTTTTCCGGGAATGTTTAAGATGACGGTCATCAAATATCAGTAAGCAGTAATGAAAACTTTTGGACGCGTATAGTTCTTATTCCATGGCTCTACAGTTTCCTTGCGTTGAATCATATATAGGTCACATTCGCACAATTATCAATTTCCGCTTTTCTTGACAGGAGATCGGGATTGTTCCCGAAGACTGTATATAATTACCGTGGGTGTCGTAGAACGCAGATCAATTAGAAATTTGACATTTCCTAGGAAACTTTTTTTTTTTTTTTTTACTCCACGGAATGTTCCAGAAAGATTGGCCATGAATAACGAACAAATGTAGCTCCACGTACCCCTCCCCCCGAGAAAAAATAAATAAATAAAAGATGACCTTTGGGTCGCTGTCCGCTTCATAGCGGACCTAGCGTTTACCGTCTTCTAAGAAGCCGTGTCCACACTGCTAACACATTATAGAAAAGAGTCTGCCGACACTCAGGCGTATTTTTCTAGACCTAGGCTAGGTGGCGCAAGGTACCGCCCGTTACAAAGGGTGTAGCTATTAACATCCATCCATCCTTGGGTCCTGCCCTGTGGCCCAAACATCCTCCTTCGTCACATGGGAATTTGGTCATACAAAAACTGTGCGGACACGGGCAGAGGAAGCTTATACCTATATACTGTACAATGAAGCAAACGTGCAGCCAACACCGTTCTTTTTTGGGTCAAATACAAGCAGAGTATGAGTAACAAAACAAAACATTATTTTGTTTGGTCGGGGAGTTCGAGCCTCCTGTTTCTCTGGAAGGGCAACGACTAGTGCATGCATATTGTAACAATATAATATATATATATATTTCTGTAATTTGGAGCTAAGAAATGCCACCTGTTTGCTCATTTCGTTCCCGAGCTAATGAACTTTGTCCATAGCCCTTACAGACAAATCGGCCCTCGAAAACGGAGCCTGTCAGAGAATATGCGGCAACAAGACCATCCCGTGTTTCACGGCAGCTTTAATCCTTGAACCTGACGTATTTGTTCAAAGTTGCAGTTTACTTTCGGAGTTCTCATGGAATGTTCGTAACCGACATGTCTCTATACAGTTAGTGGTCCCAACGAGCCGTGCCACGACGAGGATTAGACAAGTAAAAAGCGTGCGTCAGCTGCATGCGATGATGAACAGGACAATCAATGACGAAGGTTATTTTGCGTTATCTGCGTTCACGGACGTATTACGAGGCACGACCCACATAGTTGTGACCGATTTAAGGTCGGACTTATTCAACAATCTAGAACTTTCTTTTATATATAATGCGGTTGGAAGTGTATTTTTAAAATGA